AAAAACAAGAAAACACCTTGCTTATTGGTATTTCCCCACAAAGGTAGTTATCTAAAACTTTGGGGGGCCTTTCCCTTTCCCCCCCCCCCCCCCCCCCCCCAAAAAAAATATTCTGTACCTGTCCAAACCCCTGCAAATTGATCTACCACCGCCTCTCTGTGAGGAGCAACTTAAATAAATTCTTATTTATTCTACTTTTCTCACTCGAATAATGAATATTGGTTAATGATAAACACAGTATAGCTGTTTTCACTATTCATCAGGTGAGTCTATTCACAATATAGGTTGTCAATCTTGAATCCTCTCCATTACCATCTCAAGAACACTCCGTTCCAGTTGATAAAATTTCGAATGAACAACCACTTGCTCATGGGAAATCAGCATTAGAAAAGCCTTTCCAGTGAGAAAAAAACTATGAATAGTTTATTTTTTCTATATTCCACTTCCAAATATGCTCTTTTCTATCTAGGAATGAAGTTCATCACGAAGAACTAAAGACTAATGCAGGAGAGAAAGTAGAAATCAAACCTGACTATTTTCTATCTCTAACTTCCATACCATCTCCTGAAGAGTCTGGACGAAACCCAACAGCAAATTATACAGATAATACAAGAACGTGTTCTAAGTCATCGATTATTATTTTTGGTACTATCATTCTTCTTTTTGTCGCGACAACGATGGCAATCAGCATTTATTTGCTCACTCGTCAGACAACCACCTCGTCAACAACAAAAAAGGGTGAGATAACTTGTGTGCATTTATTCTTGTATGTGCACTCATATTCATACAATCGCGGTAGGAGAATAAGTAAAAGTGGCTATGAGGAGGTATATGTATGAACGAACGTCAAACAAAGAGGAAGTAGTGATTTAGGAATTTTCGTGAATTTACTCATTTGGATGTTTGTAATCTGATTTTCGATGGATTTAAGTCAATTGGTGAATAATTTATCGAGAACGAAGGCTGATGCTCACATTAGTCAATATCTGAAACAACTGAACTGTGAATTCAGTTACAGTGATGGGATCGGTTCGGTTTAAGAGTTTTAACCGATTTTTCTCCCTTAGCACTTTTTACATGTATTAAGAAAGGAAAACAAGAGCATTAGCACATCTTTCTCATATTCATGATCAGTAAAACTACTTTGTCAATGCTTAGAATAGATGTCAGTAATACAAATGAAGAAAAGATATGACTTACTAGAAAATTCACGGTGAGAATTCTGAAATGGATTTTGAGGAGTTTGCCAACTTTCAAGTGTCCTCTAAATTCTCTTGGAACCTTCACAAAAAGCAAACCTCATGCGATGTTCTTTTTTCTAAAGATCTTCCTATAATTATTATTCATGAAACCTGTTAGTGCTTAAATCTTGACAGTACCAAAAACTTCTCATAGTTGCCCAAATTCCGTCTTACCGAAAACTATATGACAATGATGTTGTATTTTATGACTAGTATAATATCTTCAAGCGAAGGGTTAGTAACACCAGTAACCTCGAATAAAATATGTAGCATTTTATTTCCATTTTTCAAAATAACTGTATATTTTTCACTTAATGTATATAAATGATTATAATTGCATTCATGATGTAGATGCCAAATATGACTTCAAGAGAGAGCCATCTGCTCTAATCATACTTTAATCTCTTTAAAGTTATGTTACAACATCTCACTTGGTGCAGTAAGGTTCGATTCAGCTTAGAAAAAATACAAATCGATCACATCACTCTATAGTTATCAGTTTGTTTCTTTTTTTTTCTTGTTCACCTCTGCTTTGATTTCTCCGATCTCGTCTTCTTTTTGTGCGCAACTCACTGATCATTGAAGAAAAAACACAGAAGAAAGAGAGATTTATCATTTTGAAGTTTGAAAACAACGAATAGATAATTGAGTATTGATAGGGTAGACATGTGGGTCAGACCTTTGTTATATAGTTGTCTGATGGAAGTGATTGCTGAATCGAGGAGTGTTCAAAGGTGGACAGAAACATTAAATAATTTTCGAACTCAAGTAGTTGTCATTTGACAGTACCATTGTCCTCTCATGCTCCATCAAGATTTCAGCTATCGGATTGTGTTTATTAGTAACCGTCTCATTTGAACTTATCATCATCACTAAGTTTTTACTCTAATGAAAGTGTGAACATATTGGTTAAACTGACAATTAGCATGTTTGATACTACTGAGGAATGCGTCTGTGACTTCTCACCAATGACACGCTGCCATACATGCAATTCTTTGTACATTAAGAGCGACACCAAGCAAACTGAAAAATGAATCAACAATTAGAAAAATAACTTAATTGCCAGTGTCTAGAGTTGCCATGAAGGAGCCAAAATTTGAGAATGCGCCATACTTTTTCAGGTTTTCATTCGACATCGTCTTAAGTACAACTAAGCTCTCCGTTAACAAAGGCACAGGAAAGAGGATTCTGTTGCATAATTATAGAGCTTTTAAAAACAATGTCTTTGATTCATTAATAGGTCAATGCAATGCAACGTTTGCTTCTCCAACGACCTATTCAACCGGCACTAATCCACGTTCGCTGGTAGCAGCCGATGTCAACGCAGACGGCAGTGTGGACATTATTGTCGCAAATAATGGTGCAAACAACGTCGGTGTTTTCATCAACACCGGTACTGGTACGCTTTCTATTCAAATGACCTATTCAACTGGAGGCGGCTCTAATCCGAATTCTGTAGCAACAGCAGATGTCAATGGGGACGGCAAAGTCGACATTATTGTTGCAAATAGTGGTGCAAACAATGTCGGTGTTCTCATGAACGCAGGAAATAGCATATTTACTGCTCAAGTAACATATTCAACTGGAGGCGGCTCTAATCCGAATTCTGTGGCAACAGCAGATGTCAATGGGGACGGCAAAGTCGACATTATTGTTGCAAATAATGGTGCAAGCAATGTCGGTGTTCTCATGAACACAGGAAATGGCATATTTACTGCTCAAGTAATATATTCAACTGGAGGCGGCTCTAATCCATATTCTGTGGCAGCAGCCGATGTCAATGGAGACGGCGAAATCGATATTATCGTTGCAAATAATGGGGGAAACACTGTCGGTATTCTCCTTAACACAGGTGGTGGTATATTTGCTGCTCAGGTGACCTACTCAACTGGAAGTAGTTCTAGTCCGCGTCCTGTAATAGCAGCTGATGTCAGCGGGGATGGTAAAGTCGACATTATTGTCGGAAATTATGGTTTAAATAATGTCGGTGTTCTCCTTAACGTAGGCAATATCATATTTGCTTCTCAAGTAACCTATTCAACTGGATCTACCTCTGGACCGAATTCTGTAGTAATAATTGATCTGAATGAAGATAGTAAAGTCGACCTTGCTGTCTCAAATTATGCCGCCGGTAGCTTTAGTGTTTTCCTGGGCACGGGCAGTGGCACATTTCTTGCTCCAACAGCCTATTCAATGGGATCTTTGATAAGTTACGTGACGGCAGCCGACGTCAATGGTGACGGTAAAAATGATATTATTGTCACACTCTTGAATGGAAACAGCATCGCAGTTTTCTTAAATTCCTGCAATTCATAGACATACTAAACTTATTTATACTCCTCAATGAAAAAAGATTTCTTTGATTTTATGTAATTAATATGTAACAGTGTTCAAAGACATAAAAGATTGAGGACATGGAGAATGCCTGTACAGCGGAATTCAGAATTTTGTAGACTTGTTCAAAAATTAATATAAATGTATCATGTACTCAGTTCCGCAACAGAATTGTATTGAGAATTCAACTATGGCAGAATATAGAAATCTAGAAGACAAACTATCATTCCTTCATATCCTTTCCAACAAAATTCTAATGAGAGTTCAAACAAGACCATTTGAACCAGTAACGCGACGTTGACGTCGCAAAACCTCTACTGAAAAGTCTATATATTTTGCAACATGTTTTAGACGGGGTAGGTGCGGGTGTAATGTGGGTGTGACTCATTTCTTTTTGCATCCGCACCCACACCCACACCCTTTTCATTTTTGTGTAGACTGAGAGTAAAATGAATGACCTCCAATTTTAAGAAATTTGATTGAATATGAAAGAGAAAAGAGATAAATAATGTGACAAACAAAAGGCTTTTGTTTCATGAACTTTATTAATACAAAAATATGAATAAAACATGCTCACACTAAATGTAGAGCGAGATTTTCAACTTTGTTACTGGTATAACTCAATAAAAACTAAACTGTTTGCAACCAAAATTTGATCATCTTTCCATCTCATAATGTACAGTAACTTTCCAAAAGAATCAAACAAAAATCTTCATTTCAACGAAAACTCAGTTTTATCTGAGAAAGTGTAGAGAGACATTAAAATCATCAGAATTTCATTTAAATAAATCAAATGAAATAAGCTTTATTGACTTTCGAGGGAAGAAATTTTGACATGTAAAATAGTTTTATTGGCAAAGTGTTGATGAAAGTCGTCTGTACACTAAGTATATTGGAAAAATGGATGTAGCATACAGAAATTGGCTCTAATATTATTCAAATTCATCAAAACAGATAAGTGTTAAGTGTACATATTCGACATCGCTATATAAACTACGACACTTAACTCTTGATTATCATGAAATTCAGTTTTTTTCCAAAACAGTACAATTGAGGGTGTGGATATGGGTGTGGGTGTGGGTTTAGTTGTTGGCATAGCTCACATCCACACCCATACCCACACCCGTACCCACACACCCACACCCCCCCCCCCCCCCCCCCA